GGGCTGTGAAATGCAGATTTTGGGTAAAAATCCCTTCACAGCAGAGAGGAACTAACTAACCAAGAAGAAATTAACTTGTTTCTATACATAATATTAATTAGGAGTAGCTACAGGATGTGAAGGGAGAAGCTTTTGGGGATCTAGCTGCTCAGAATTTGGAGTTGAAAGAATTGAGAGTTTTATCTCATGTCATGATTTTCAGTGGATTTAACTGTCATATTTCCAATAGCATTTTTTACTTTACTGACCAGAAATCTCAGGATGTTGAATTGAAATCTGAACTTAACCACAAACATCCATCTTATGCTTTGCCAACTGTCATTGGAATGTGCCAAAAAATACTAACCCTGCATGCATGTAGGAAAAGTGGCCTTGGCAAAGGAATACAGCACAACATAGCAAGTTTTAAGTTACTTTCCAGAAAGCCTAGTTCTGTCATTCAGGAAAATCTGGGAAGCTGGTTCAAGCCTTCTTCCCTCTGATATGGCTAACTTGCATTCTCAGGAGTGGGGAAGGGAAAAAGTGTCTTAGAAAGTACCTTAAGTAGTGTGTTTGGGTTTTTTTTGCTTTCATATTTTGAAATTATGGCCTGTCTTTAAGACACAGCAGTTCCTTTTGCCACTTCAATTTTTAAATGGATTTGACCATTTATACAGTACAGACTTAACATGGGTATTAAAGAGTACTGGAATTTCTGAAACCTAAACCACACAATTTTCTATGGAATTGGTCCTATATAGATTGGGCAAAATGACCAGATGAGGTAGAGTGAGCACACTTAATCGTGCAGTCTCTTCCCCCCAAAGTTTTTAATATGAATACTAGGATAATGGGTAACTAACAGGTTTTTATCATACTGTGCCCTGCAGGACACATTTCAATGTGAAATAGAGAGGGCTTTTGTGGCTGCCATTAAAACTATTCCTGAAGCTAAATCCCTCCATCTCGCTCAGGAGTCATTCCTTAGTGATGTTCAGTATTAGACAGTCATGAGTCACAGATGAAAACCGTGATAACCTTGGTTGCCTAAAGCTCTGTACATACCATTAATATCCAATCACTAAAGAGTAAAAAAGCACTCAGTTGAGTAGGGTGAAATGCATTTCCTCTGCCCAAAAGGTGAAAAACTGATAAAATTCCTTTTGTGCCAGGAACCTCAAATCTTGGTAGTGTTAGGATTTTAGAGACTCACATCAAGAAAATGTGATAGTTTTTAATTTACTTGGTCCTTGATTGGTACTGTACTTCAAGTCATTTAAAATATGTAAGATCAAATTATTTTTAAACAGTTTTCTTATTACGTATATATAAAAAGATAATTAGGAAAGCTCACTATAAGTGTCTGAGTTACAATGAGCTCTAGGCACAGTGAACGTAAGCACGAAGCTTGTGATTTCTATCTGTAAAGGTATTATCTACACAGTGCCAACAGCATGTGTGTGGGATATATAAAATGACAACTACAGTGATCTTGATCAAACTTGACCTTGAAAATGCTTAGTTTTCATGCCCACTGTATTTTGTTTTTATATTTCCCTTTTACACCTCATATAAAATCAACCTGACAAATGCTAACACAGATCTGAGATTCATTAGGAAATCATTAGTTATCCTAAAGGGATGTTTACGGATAGATATTTTGGGCTGTCAAGACAAATTGACCAAATGGCTTCTCTGCAACCACCTTCCAACTGTGGCAGGCTAATGTCAAACCTTAGTGCATGGTATTCCTTTAAATCCACTAAGAAAGTGTTTAGTGGAAGTGTCTATGGTGATAATCAAATTGAGCCTCAAATGAAATTTGTGATTTAGATACGAACATAGTTAAACTATTAACATCCCAAGGCATTTTTCATGAATTATTTTCCCAATTAAAGTTTTTATGTAAGTAGTATTTTGTATTGGACTTTCAACTGGAGAGTCAAGACTCTCTCAACTGGACAGACCTGAACAGTTGGTGCTCTCTCTGCCATAGAAATGGGTACTGTTAACTTTGACTCTATTTCATCAGCCTTCCGCTAAACTTCCTTTTCCACTAATTTCATGGTTTACAGCCCAGCTGTAAAATCTAATGAAAATATTCAATCTAATATGTAAAATCTAATGAAAATATTATAATCACACCCTTGGCCAAATAGAGATGGTGTGCTTTCTCCTTAAATCATTTCAGAAAATATCATTTTAGCAAAAATAGTACACTCAAGAACACTTGGCTCTGCAGCACCTGGTACAGTGTTGTAATACTGTGGCCTTTTGCATTAGAGCAGGGTGGTTAAATGAAGTTAATGCCTTGGTGTCTGTTTGGGGCAGCAGGACACTAGTTTTCACTCCTGAATTCCTTCACTTTAAGTATGTTCAGTGTTATTTTGCCAAGGCAGTTGCTTTCCTTGCTGCTCTTCATTCCTGTCCTGTTCATGCTACAGTTGGATTATTAGTTTTTGGGAATGCTAGTTTAGCTTTAAATGGCATCCTGCACTGCATGAATTTGAAGGAGGAATAGCTAGTGCTACATTTAAGTAAACATACTCTTCAAAACATGTGTAACAAGACTGACCCCAGTGAGTTAATATTTTAAATACAGAAGGTCAACCATGTCTTGTTTTTGCTTCAAGGTGCCGTCTGGCAGTCAGTTTTCCTGCTGTTAGCACCCACCAATACAAATAATCTCCATGCTCTACTAATTAGAAAAAATACACTTTAGGTTATGCCATTGTGGGGAGCATAAAGGTAGCTATGCCAAAATTTTTCAGGCTCTTATATAATGCAGTGTATTCATACAATGCTTTTCAACAAACAATTTTCTGAATGGAAAACTACAATAGACTTTATAATGTATCATCTGTAAGTGTAAATGTGTCTCTATGTAGCTTTGCTTTCAGCCATCTGCTAAGCTCTGTTTTTCCTTAAAGTTTTCTCCAAGTTGTATTGCTAAGATATAAACCAATAAGATTTTGATGACTTGCCCAAACTACTTTTTGTAAAATATTTAACTCAGGTAGCAGTGAGAAAATAGCACATTTGACCTGTGATGCAGAACTACAATTAATGGGATAAGTATTTCCTTGTGCATGCCGAATTGGATGTTGGGCCCCTCAAGGACTCTTGAAGAAGCAGTGGTTGGACACCTTCATGTCTCTCTGATCCTAGTACTGAGGTCCCAGAATAGTTGCTTAGAACAAGACAGGACACAAGATAGTTAACTTGTTCCAGGCTTATTGCAGAAGAAGCTGGAGAATTTATAGGGAAGCACAGATTATCTAGTGCTATCCTATAATACTCACATATCTCCTTTCAAACAGAGAACTCCACAGAGGCAGAAAATCCTTCTTTGTTTCTGTTTCAAACTGGAAATGGAAGCAACCTATAGTTTAATCTTAGGAGACCTGTCTGCTCAAGGAATTCTCAGAGGTTGTTCTCAGAAATGTGTCTGACTGCCCCCTCAAGCTGTTGCTTGGGTGGCAGCTGGCAGGCTTGTATTAGTAAAGACTTGTGGATGTGGGTCCAAAAAACAGTCTAAATTTTTAAGTAGATTTATATGAAGTTCTACAAATTTAGATGCCAGGCTCAGAATAATTTTTCACATGTGAGCTTTAACCTAAAATATTTCTAAAAGCCCATTTATTATATAGTTTGACTTTGTAATAAGGGGGTGCTTTTAGACCATGCATAGAATTGAAAACGCAAAGATCTACATATTGTATGTTAATATTACTGACTTGCTCTATATTGCATGTGTATACAAGCAGTCGGGAAAGGGTCTTATGAATATATTGGTTTAACTCAAATCAGAGTCTGCTTAAAAGAAATAAAAGAGAAAGAAACAACAAAAAAAAGGGGTGTGTGTGTGTGTGTGTTGTGGCTGTTTAACCGTTATTTGGTGTTTGTAAGATACAGCACTACAGAAAGCCTGAAGTGGTATTCTGTTTAAAACAATTTCTGTTGATTCTTTGGAGGGAGTAATTGAATTCCTTCATTTATTAAGCTGAAGGTGCAGCAGCCATACATAAGGGATAGAGGTGACCTGAAGTACAACTCCTATCTCTCACGATGGCCATTCTTGTACTGTGTGAATACAGGCACCCAAATGTGGAAGGAGCTGCTATATAATATCTGGAATAAGTGTCTTTGGAAAGAGCCTCTTCTAGTGATGTTTCCTCCCAGGCAATCAGAACTGTCTGATACTTGAAGGATGCTCTTCTCTGAAGATGCTACTACAATCCTGGCAACTATGGCTCTCCAGAGCAGGATTGGGTTAAACAGCTAAAACGGTATTTGTCATCCTTTGCAGATTACTGATACAAGATGACCAATCCCAAACAATTTCCTCCCTATCCAAAATATTGGAGATTAAGTACAGTTACTAGGTATGCTAGAAAGGTGTGTTTTCTTCAGTCCTGCTTTTTGATAGAATAGTGGAGCTAAGAAAGCTGAGAAGTCTGACTTGCTAAAAAATATAGGAAGGTTTCTTGTACTTCACCCTCTTCTGCCCCTCCCCCCCCCCTTTTTTTGTTGTTTGTGGTTTTTTTGGGGGGGGTCGTTTTTTTTGTTTGTTAGTTTGTTTTGTTTGGTTTTTTTTTTTGTTTTTCCCTGATCTGAAACTGACCTGAACAGTCTCAAGGTCAGTAATAAATGTAACCTGGAAGATCTTGGAAAAAAGCAGGTTTGTTTTTTTTTCAGGAATTGAAACTTTGACTTGTAAAATAACTTCTTTCAAGGATATACGTTAATAAATGATTTTCCTTGTGTGTTTCATTAGTATGCCATCAGTATGATAAATTTTAATATGGATGTTACTAAATAAGAATTGGCTGTACACACAACTTTAGTAAAGAAACAGTCTGCTAAGGAAAACTTATACTCAAACTAAACAAGGTAGGTCTGTATTCAGAGTTTGTGTGACCTCATTTTTGTAGTGGGTATAGTCCTAGCAGTTTTATTTTCTTCTTTAACCAGCTTTGTACATGCAGGACTGTAACACTCATTCTTAGAAAAGTGCTTACCGTGGAGGTGAATCGGAATATATGACATTGACCACACGTTGACGTGTATCCACACTGGCACCAAGCTCAAGATTTGGGGGATACTCCTCTATGCAGGCGGCTCTCAGCTCTCCAAAAGAGCCACCGTAAGAGAAGCCATCTGGAGCTGGAAAACAAGCAATAAATACTTGCTGCTTTTTTCCTCTATGGTTTCTCTGAGGCAATATCACTGTTCATAACACTGCCATAAATCGGAAAATAAAATCTACCAGAGGCAGAGGAATTAGTGGTGTTCTGGAACAATCAGGTTTCATAGGACATTTCTACTCTTTTAAGAGCAAATTAGCATAATCTGTAGACAAACATAGTATTTCAGCTATGGCACTGAATATTCAGTGCTGCCCTACAAGATGCAAGTGTCTAAAACTTTTCTTGTGCCTCAAAGGTTGAAAAGGAGCATTGGTTCTGCTGCATGCAGCTTCTAACAGTAGCAGCATTGCTGAAGCTCCCAGGAGCTGCATACATTGAAACCTTGCCAGTTCTGCAGGTTTTTAACAGAAAGCCTGTGTGTTTGATTATAGGTCTGTGTCTTGAGAAAAAGCTTTTCTCAATAAAAAACACAAAAAGTGGAAACCATGGAAAATAGTAGAGAAAACCATCCTCCTGGCTGCTTCAGACCTTTCTTAATGCTTCCATGCAAGAGCTTCATAGCTCCACAAAAACCAAAAGTGAGTGCTATTTTCTGTTTTAGAGCATAGTTAGCTAATGCTTAACATTCCGGGGTAAATTTCCCTAAGAATGTCCCAAAGTGTGGAAATGCAGGGATCTCTGCTCCCCTGCCCTCTGCAATTGTCTTCCAAATAAAGTGATCCCTCTTTTTCGCTTGATGCATTAAAATACTACCTGGAGAAAAGGGACAGCTTCTAAAATGCATTGAAGTAGCAGTGTCTCTCTCAACAGAGGGTAGAGGACAGGATTCACTTAAAGTGCCTGTTCCTCCTTCTGGCAATTTTCACCTCTGCCAGTGTGTTCTCAAGGAATTTATCAGGACTAATCCAGTCTGTCATGCACTGTGCTTTCCTTTGGCTTGATGAGGGAAGGAAGCCAACTTCGTAGTGACTCCCACTGCTCCCACGCTGGCCGGTGGACATGTGCTGAGATATTAGGCCAGCTTGTGCTAATGTAAAATTTTCACTTAGATAGACTGGCTCAATTTATTTTCAGATAATTCTTTTGAATTTCCCTAAAAATATCACCATGGTTTTCTTTTTCCATTTCTCTAGCATTGACAATTCTAATGAGTGGTTTGAAAATTGTCCTTTATGTTTTCACCTGGCTTCTGGGTTTTTAAAGGGGCTGAAATTAGTAATGATTGAATTTTAATGCTATTTTATCATGCCAAAATATTTCTGTTTATGGGTAAAACCCAGTAATGCCAATTTGCATTTAACTATTTAATCTCAAATTTAGCTACTGAAAAGTAGGAAAAATAGATGTTGCAATAATAGTAGACATTAGTTTTCTGGACATTTTTTTCCCCTTTATTACCATGGGAGTTTGCATTTCACTTCTTTTTGAGTCTAAAATTTGTTCCTAAAACAAAGATGTTACTCATTTATCTGGATGAATGCTTCTGGAAAAGCCAAAAATAATTATCCTCGGCTCCAGGTGGACAAACTGATCCTATGAAATGTGTTTTTCTTTTAGACACAAAAATACTGGTCCAAATAATTAAATGACTGACTTCAGTGGATACTTGATTTACCTTAGTGAAATCAAGATGTGAGCCAATGCTTTTTAATGTAGCTCACTACTATTATCTATATAGACAAAAAACCGCAACAATATGCAAAGCACGAAACCTGCAGATACAGGAGCCTAACCACAGGTGACATAACTGTTGTTGCTCCACTCAATTCATTAACCCATTTATCTTTTGAATTTTTACTAGCTGAAGACTTAGAGTTATCTTTTTGTAACTGTTTTTTTCTTTTTTTTCCCCCTTAAATATAGAAATAATCAGATCCTATCATTTCCTTGACAAAGTGGCTTTTAAGTTCTGGTCAGCAAACCCAAAATTGGCCAAAAATAGAATTCGGTAATTAACTTCTTCCTATTCCCAAATACTTCTGAGGTACCAGGGGTTTTGTTGTGGAGGGAGGAATTAGGGGGATAGCAATTGGCACTTTTTTAATAGAAAACCACTCTTTTTTAATGATGATGACAGTTGTAATGACATTCTCATGCCCTGTTGTTCTGTTTATATCTAGTTATTAACTTGTGGTCAGGGAAGTAGTAATTGCCCAGTCACTGTTGTAGGCTGTAGGAAATTAAAACATTCTTGGCTTTCCAGCAAATACAAATTACATTATATGCTATACCAAGGCTATCATGGGATATGAAAATAAACTTATCAGGAGTCTAGCCATGGAGAAGAAATATTACACTGTATGAAGGGAAAATAACCTGTTTAAGAAATGCTGTTTTATTGGCGTTGCATGGAACTTGTATTATGTGAATTCAGTGCCACCACAAACATGTTATTAAACTACAAAGCTGCCCATGACCTACTTATCCTATTTTTTTAATTACATTTTTATCCCTTGCACAGCAGCCAGATTCCTTTTGTTGCCTATATCACTAGCTTATTAATAAAGTTAACATTACCTTGCTATAACTAGTGATCTTACCATAAAAAACATCTGTTCTCGGACGCTGGCGTCTCAACCGCCTTTCCTTTCGCAGACCGCCAACAATGATTGTAATACAGGACAGAAACAGCACAATTCCGATCACTACTCCAGCCACCAGAATAGGTGAAAAAAAGAAATGGGTTTCATTTCCATGATCACCGTAGTTGGGGAATTCACTATCTGAGTCGCTCTCGTTCACGACTTCTGTACAGCAGAGAGAAAGAACATGTCAGCTGTGAAGAAAGACATTTACAGTGTGGTTATTCAGATGCCAAAACTAAGGGCTTTCAAAGCCCTAAGAGACAGCCTGAGACAGATCAGTTATATGAATTCATGCTTTTATGGACAGCCTATTTACTAGACAGCTTTCTGGTGCTGTTAGTAACTGACTCTGGGAGAGTCATTCAGCAAATGTTTCCGTGTTACTGGGGAATATCCTGCTGGAGCTGATGAATGTTACATAATTTTGATTACTTATTCCTGGAAAGATTCTTTGTATAATTATGCTGAAAGAACTGAAGTGCACAAGGAGCAATGTGAAAACTCAAAAACTTGGGCTCCACCTGGAACAGAGAAATTGTGTGTTGTTATGAAGTGTAAAAGCCTCCAAAGTTTTGCAGGCAAGAGAGAATCAGAGGGGCATGCTTTCATTTGTGGAATGACTTAGCATCCTGAGAAACTGATCTGAAGCAGAAGGGTGAAGAAACTCATTCTTAAGTGAGGCACTGGATTTTCATAAGACATGGCTTTTTATTAAGCAGAAGCTTGGGCAGTATGACCTTAACATCTAATAAATAGTCAAAATAGAAAACCATCTTAGTAAGACTTAAAATTTATTCATTAAAAACCTGAAAGTAAATAAGCTTAATTTATTGCCCATTGGGCTCCTCATGTTTAAATAGTAACCCAAGGATGGTGCCACATCTGTGCTTCATCTGTGCTAGTATTTAAACTGGCTACCTGCCTTACAGAGAGGTTAGGTTTGGTGCAGTGATTCATCCTACCTCTAGTTTGGCCTAATATTGTGTAAGGAAGGAGCTCTGTGGACAGGCAGACCTTGCCTTCAGTGTTCTGGGGAAGTAGGTACGTCCTGTGCTTCACCAGGTGGCTGCAGACTGAGATGAGCTCTACCTGGCTCTGTGCCTTTGTTCTGCCAAGCAGTTCTACACAGCAACATTACTACTCTTCCACCCCATTTTGATTTTTCAGTTGAAAGGCACTCATGGTACATGTGGCAAAAACTGTAACTGCTTTCCTCTGTTAACAAAAACCAACAAACCCTCAAGAGGTATTATCTAAGTTCAATAATAAATCACTTAAGGGAGAAAACGGAAACCCCAAGGGTATCCCAAACTATGAAAAGTCAGAATACCTCCAGTAATTTATTCCCAGGTCAAATAAGCTTTTGAGACAAGCTAAAGAGAGCATCAAAAGTTAAACAGTAAGGTTCCTCTAGAGAACCAACTGGTGATAAATGATTATATATGTGAATTAATTGCCCACAGATGTGTTTATGAGGGATTGTGCTGCTGATGGAGGGGAGGTAAATGTTAGAAGTTACGGGAAAAAGCATTTGGGATTACAGCAGATAGAATCCCTGCTTAAGCAAAAGGCTCTGTCTGTTTACTTGTGGACAAAAGTTTGTCATGCAGTAAAGGTAACTACATTTAGGCCTAGGTCTTGAAAACAACTTGCAAACCCCACCTGTTTTCCTAGCCTTAATCCGTAGTTTATTAAAACAACTCAAACAAACCAACAAACCACAATCAGACACCTCCCCCAGATTAAAAGAAATCTCCCACTAACTGCTCAAGATCAGACTATCTACTGAGTAAATCTGGAATTTTATTGATGCAAGAAATGATTAGAGATGGTGATGTATCAAGACTAGCTTTAAATGTGGCATGGGTTTATTTTTATAACTGGCTATATGGTAGTTGAACAGGTAAATAATTTGTTTCCTACAGAAACTAAACTAACAGTATTTTGCTCTTTTGAGTGTTTTCTAAAGTGATTATATGCTTTTGGAAGTCCAAGTGCTTTTTGTATGGATAGATGTTAGCAGATAATTTTCAGCAATGTTTTCCCCACTCTCTTCCTTTGGGATATACCACTTAGTGTCTTGCAGTCACAATAAGCTTTAAAAAAAATGATGGCTTCTGGCCAATGTATATTATTATTGGTTCATGCTTGGCATTAAAAGCACTGACTAGAAATAGAAAGCAACTGAGGAATTAGCATGTAGTAGAGCTTTTGTTAATTTTTTAGAATCACTTGACTGTTGGTTGAGAATCTTTATGAGCAATTAAGATAGCCAGGGAATGTGCTGAGCTTTTACAAAGCATGTTATGCCAACAGAGAAAACTGGACTTTCTGAAAATTCAGCTGGTTCTGAGGCATTAAATCAAAAGGGTATGAAAACCCGTCCTACTTCATACTCTTAGCACAAACAGTTTATGGGCATGGGATATGTTTGAGGGGTAGATTCTGCTGATTTTGCGGATCAGCAACAGTGCCCAGTACTGCGTATTCCCAGTGGCTTTCCTCAGCCTTGTTTATTCAGGCTTTTGTAAATTCTGTCTTTTGAAAGATGCGAATATCGCAGCAGTGCCAGTTTGTTTAAATCACAGTCGCAGGGAACTGAGACCTGAACTGAAAGCACTTGTGGATGCTTTACTGGTCATTTTGGCTGACTGGCAAAGATAAAAGGGAAGAATTAACTTTGTTGCCATCGTGGTGAGAACACGAGCCTGTTTGGTTTCTTTTTTGTGTGTGCGTTTGTATTTTTGTTGTGGTTTTGGTTTTTTTTTAGTTGTGTATGGAATCCAACCAGTATCTTAACACATCGACTAGTTCGGAGATTCCTGTGGTGTCACCCAGGGTGTGCACTAATATTTAGGTCTATTTTACTTTATCGGAATTTAACAGATTAGCAGTGACTTCAGATATCAGGTGCTCTCTTGTACTTGAGGTGGTATTTTTTAAGTTTCAAGACAGCTCATTTATCTAGCATGTTCTCAGGGCTTCCTTAACTGTTCCAAATATTGTTTATTTTATGTCTTGTTTCTCACCATAGTGACTCTTTCTCTTTTATGGTCTTATCTAATTGAACCCAGTCTCTAGTAAACACAAGATCTATTGCAATATTGCTTTTATTAGAAAGAATGAATAACTCCCATTAGCCTAGATCCTAAAACAATATGCAGTTGATAAACTTCTCTTACAGTGTTATTTTCAATTTGACATTGAGTCTAGTCCTATGGACTTTATACTGACTTACTACTGTGTGAATTGCTCAGGTGACTAACTAGTACAGAACGAAATAGAGGTGCCATGCTTGACCTTGGGCTCACCATTCTATGATTCTATGATTCTATGAAATACTATGTTGATACAAATTCTGTGGATTTCACTTTTTTTTTTGGGGGGGAGGGGGATGTTTACATTACTTTTGGCAAAAAAAAGCCTTATAAATTTTTCTCTTCTTATCCAAATACACCTTCTTTTGATAAGCTGTACATTTCTGTATATAAAAATGTGATGTGTTTTCATTCAGAAGAATCTAGAAATGTATGTGAAGCCTATAAATATAACAGCAATAGCAGAGTGCTAATTTTTTTTTTTTAAGGTATTTTTTCCATGAAACAGGGAATGGTAAACAATAACACGAGTAAATATGAATACTTTATACCTAATCCTCTAAATATGAATTACACAGGATACAGAAACCATTGTTTCTCTCCAGTTATGGGAGTTGCGTAACTAACCAGATATGGGACAAACAGAATGTGCTGGCTGTTACAGCAGTGAATACAGTGCAAGGGGCACATATGGCTGAGTGAACAGTTAATTTATGATGAGAGTGCTAGTGGGAAATTGCCTACACTGTCTATTCAATGTTAGACAATAAGTTATCAATCTGAAAAATCCCTTAAATATCATGTTATATTATTTTGCCCAGCGCTCCTGCATCTCAACAGACCAACTTGTGAAGTAGCTCCATGTAACTGAAGGAGGTGTAGTACAACTCAATTTCCTTGGCATATATTGTGCTCTCTCCTTCTCATTAACCTGTCTTTGAAGGGGACCCTTTTTACCCTTTCGAACTTGGCAGTAAGTAATGTTGAGGTTTCAGCTGGGTCAGATCCTGTCAGAGGGAAATGTCTTGGTGTGCAGCTGTGTTATGGAAGCTTGGTACATCCAAGTTACAGCCCTTCATTAGGAGCACCTTCTCTCTTACTGAAAAGCAGTCTCTTACCTGCTTGTATCTCAGATGATACAGAAGTGAAGCACTACATATAAACGAGTATCACTTCTCTCCATACTGACATAGTCCTGGTTTTGGGTTTTTTTGTTTGTTTTGTTCTTGCTGTTTGTTTTTGCTTTTTATGTTTTTTTTTTTTTTTTGTCCTCTGAAGGCACATCAGAATTAGTGAAGCCTGAACAGTCTCTCTAATTTTTTTTTTTTTTTTGGTTCCCTTTAAAAATCAGAGATAATTTTAAGGCTGGATCTTAGCAAGATAACCAAATCTCTTCCCCTGGTTTCTTTATCTTTAATAAAGATGATAATTCATAATATCACTGGAGAGGATGAGACATGGAGTGGCTTTGCTTCCTGGGCTGAAATGTGCCTGAACAGCTCATGAAGAAGTGCTGATGTCTTGTAGTGGAAGGATTTTGTGTGCACAGTTGTACACCAGTACATCCCTGCCAGCCTCAGTTAAGCCTTGGCTGAGGTTAGTGATTTCTTGCTGAACTAGAGCTGACACACACTGACAGAACAATGTTGTAGTACATGCACCCCCTGGGTCAGTACAAGTTGTTTAGTTTGATGATCTAGCACCTTCTGTTGCTTTAAAATATGGTATGTTAACCAAAATGAATAGGAGGATGGTCTGTATAAGATAGTGCATTGAATGCCTTGATTTTTAAATAATCACAGCCAAGTGTCTCAAATACTAAGGCAATTTAAAGTATGTTTCTGATACCCTTATTTTATTTGATGGTGGGGAATATGTGTTGGAATATGTGGTCTCTTTATCAAGGGGAAGAAATTGACAGATGGCAAGGAGCTGAGAGGTCCCAGTGAGGCACACTGGGATAGATAAGCTATATTAGTGGAATTGATTAAGATTTTGTTGATCCTGCCTTTATGAACAGTTCCTGTTCAAAGATGATTTAGTCTGCCCAAGAGTGACCAATTG